CCCCATCGGAAATAAATTTTCCAGCGGGGTCTAAATTCCGTGTTGCAAAAAGGTATGAATTGTAGTATATTATAAGATAACGTGCGCAAGCATAACGGGAATAGAGGACCAAGGATTGGACGTACTTTATTTGAAATCAAAATTTAGGGTTGTTTAAAGGCATTGATGCTTACAATTGATGAAGAAAACTATTAATTTTAAACAAATTGACGGTTAAAACTACCAATTTTATTTTCAGTTTGATCCAAATAACAACAATAGGCTAAATTTTTATCTAAAAAAAACCACTTTAATATTTTATACAGATTACATGTCATTGCTTCGGTCATTGCAAACATACCCGATTCTAACATATTTGTTCACATTTTCCATTATTTTGAAGGGGCTATACACCCTTACCATCGTTATCTAAAGGCTATTTATTTTAAAAGATAAATAAAAGTAAAAGAAAGAGAGAAAAAGTTGTACGCTAAAAGAACGCTTAAGTACACTCTAAAAAAGAAACTAAACCACAGAATGGGCCAGTCATGTCGACCAGACACAACTAGTGCCTTCTTCTGTTTCTTTTGCGTGAAGGTTCATTCGCTACCTCTGGTGGAGGAGAACTGTATAAAAAATATTTATCGCATATGAGTATATATATATCACGCATGAAAAACAATAAAAAAAACTTACAGCACGCCTGCTATGATGCGGGACTCATAGCAACCCATTTCTTCGAAAACGTCATTGATAGAGTCTGAACTATCGGGATCTTGTTGATTCTACATTATTTTTACCTTGTTAACGATATTGATGAAATAAACTGCTAAAGAATGTTTTACTGTTACCTTCTTCTGTGTGTTTGGTTGTCACTTTTACAGCTCTCCTTAACAAGCTTTGGCACACCATATTCTCCTACACTGGTATATTTGGAAACCCTTGTCATTCGCAAGCTTTTCCAAGCGCAACATTTAAAAATCCCTGTCATTTGCCGGGATATCTTTCCAGTTTTTTACCTCGTCAGGGCGGTCAAGTTCAATCAAATCATACTTCAACAAACGTGCCCGTGACTTCAACTCAACTCGTTTGATTTTCAAATCACGTCGTGAAATTAGGACTAGAGGTGGCTTTTATTGTATATCCGGAATATCCTTGGAAAATAAATGCGAGCATTCTGTGTGTAAACGTTGCAGTAGTACATTAAGTTTATCCGAGACCTTCTTTCCTTCAGACTCTTCAGAATTTGTGTGAATCGTTCGTTTACCAACTGATCAGGATATTCAATCACTTGGGATCTTTTTACCGACTCGATGATTCGATGAAAAGCTAAAACAAATATACAAAAAAAACTGATTCAGTCACGATTATCAAAATCTGAAAAGGATAGGCTTTATCACTTTGTTCGACCATCCTTTTTTGTATCATCTTTACATCTTCATCAGTGATTTTTAGTAAAAATTGATTTTTGAACCGATCAGACAGCGCAGCTAGCATTTGAATGATCTCGGTAACGTCAAGTTCGATGTTACGAACAGAATTGGGAAGTGCAGTATTCATATCAGAAATTTGGAAATGTTTGTTCTAAAATAACTTTTTTAATGAATAAAAAGGTATAAAAAAGTTAAACGAAGATATGCTAGTACGTGTAATATATTTTATCCCACCTTTAGTTACTTGGAGTTGAATTGTCTGCTTATCAAAATTATGTCAATTTTTGTTTTGTTTTGTTTTGTTATGTTTTTCATTTTTTTTTTTTTTGACTGCATGTCCTCATGTCATGGAGTTTTAAAAATTAAATGACGACGAAATTAATACTTAAGATCAAAGACCATAGCTAGTAATATATCGTACCTTTCGTCATCTTCCAGGAGACTTTCATCATTAAAGTATATCACTATGGAAGGGAAAAAATTAAAACCGCGATTTTAAACTTAAGCTATGGAGTATATATAAATCAACGTACATATAGACATTACTTATACCGGTTACATTTTCCAAATATAAATTACACGTCCACAAATATCAAAATTTTCAAATGTCATTCCACCTTCTTCTTCGTCAAATGCCAACAGACAAAGTAATAGACTTCGTCGTAAAGCTTTTGAATGTAACAGCTTTTGGATTATCTTTGACAGTTACCGTCAACTCCAAAACCATAAGAGAGTTCATATCGGAACAACAACATCTGAAGATACCGATATGCAAGAAAGCAATTACGATTCTGCTCATAATGGAGACGTAAGTGATTACGGTAAAATTAACTACTTTATCTTCTTATTTTACAAATAACTTACAAGGTAATTTTAGTCTCTAACACCGTTTCCATCGATGTTGGTGGCCAAAAAATTATAATTGTGGATGCAGCTTTTAAGAAAATGAAGACAGGGCTCACGTTTATCAAGCCAGTAGAATCTGCTCCAACACATCCACAAAAGCTGAATTAATGAGCATACGTCTTTCCCAATTGATGCTGCAATCCAATATTGCCGGCGCTGCTTACAGGGACATTGTAACATTTGTAAATACGGTTATTCGGGACCACGATGAGATAAGGATGGGTAATAAATATAAACGTATGGCCTTCATATATTACATTCTTTAACATCACATTGGTAATTCATTCAGAAACCGGAGCCAATATTAGCTATGCCGAGGTTGTTGATGATTTAGTCAAAGCTAAATCCAGTGTTCATGGTCCCGAATATGATGTCTGTCTCAACGGCTGTAGAATGTATGGATTGGATGATGGACAAGACCAATGTATCGACTATGACGAAAAGCGATATAAGACTAGCTCTGAATGGAGGTCCCCAACGCCAGGATGAAATTGATGTCTATCGGTATTCTTCTTTTGTAATATGTTGGCTGATCCTCACACTAGAGACCTTCTAAATTATAGAGCCAACAGGGACTCAAGTAACATGAAAATGAGTGATATTTTCGATGGGCAAATTAACAAGAATTTGGTAAGAAAGAGATTGTTCTCCAATCCTGACGATATCTCCATTGATCTTTACACGGATGGGTTTGTAAACCAAAATAAGAGCAAAAATTCTTTTACAATCATTCACATTGTGAGATTCAATTTTGATCCTTCCATCATGTAACAAGTTATACTTGTCTTAAAATTTACAACGTTCTAAAAACTAGACATTAGATACACAAACGAGCATATGTTACAGCTAGCATTTTTACCCGGTCCTAAAAAACCTACTCGTCCAGATTCATTTTTGCCACCCATCATCGACGAGTTAGAGAATTTGGAAACCCATGGGCTTGTTGTCAAACGTGGTGATATGGAAATCTGTCGCTCCAAAGTATACATGTTACTAGCTTCTGGTATTATTCCAGCTGGGGCTGATATGGCTCACTTCGGTTCTCATACCAGTACATACGGTTGTCGTTTTTGTGAATCGAAAGGGAGAAGTCCAGACAATAAGTCTAATCGAAAGTATTTTGACGATTGTTCTCCACCATTGATCCCACTGCAAGACTACATGACTGGAAATCCTGTAAGTATAATGACTTGATCTTTTATTATCTCGAGACTAATAAAGTGTACCTACTATAGATAAAAAACATTTACCAACCTAGTGCATTTAGTGAGCTATCGACATTTTCTGGTTCCTCATTTTTTGTGTTGGATCAGCTCCAGCTTATAGTCGGAGGTATCGGCAAACATTGATAAGATCTGATCACAGTTGAAATATCCAAATATTAAAAGTACTACTATACAAAGCCAGATAAAACCGTCTCAATCGCCAACTGTTCTTTCTACATATCAAGAAACAATTTGGATGTTATTGGAGATTGTCTCACTTCATCGAGAAAGCATGTCCCTGATTCTTTCTAGGGTAGCTTCGACAGTTTTCTTGAAACGATTGATGGTACACGTGCGGTGGATTGGTTGGAATTTGTTTTGTACATTATTCCCACATTAATTGCGCCCTACCTGCCTATCAGGTCTGACAAAAACAACGTGCTGGGCTTGATCAAAGGTTGTGCTCTTGCATTGAAGTGGGATTTTAAACCAGATCTGATTAGTGAAATGAAGGGGTAAGTCGGTATACTAAAGTAAGGGAAATTCAGTTATTTAACAAAAATATATTACCTTTGACAGCTTCTTTGGGACTTGGCACACCTATCTGGTAGAGCAAGTCAATTTGAAGAGCATGTCTCGGTGCGTGTTTTGTTCTATTCAACATTACTTGATTCACGTTCTATACACCATCAAGCAGCGAGGTTCCTTGAGGTGTTACTCTGCAAGATCTCTGGAGAGAGTGATTGTTGTATACTCCAAGCTGATTAAATCAAGAAGAATGGGTGGTAGAAATGCAAGTATGCTCATCGAATGATTTGCAATTCGTAATTTCATCAGCAGCATTATCGATATTACGAGGGAAATTGAATTGATCGTACCAGCCGGAACAGGTCACCCCAATTTCATGGATCTTCCTGATAGCCTGGATGATGTGGAACTTTTGGCGCCGTTTGGTGGTAACGCCTCTCTGGATGGTGAGATGATAGAAGGTATCGGATGTAGTGGAGCAAATGATGCCTTATCTAGATAATACCGAAGATCTAGTGGTCTGAATGCTACTACTTGTTTCGGTGATTCTGAAATTGCCATTGGTTCTCGTGCTGGGATAAACAACAATGTTTACTACTCCAGCATGTACCGAAAACGAATGAACGAGTTAAATTGGGGAAACCATTACGTGATGTTCACCACCAGCCATAAAAAGTAAGTTCATTCCTGTTTTCATTGAGTTAGCTTCTCACGCTTTTTTTCTTTTTCTATTATTAACTTATTCATTTACACGTTTCCCGTCGCTGTTGACTTGTTGGTGCTGTTCAGTTCTTTTTTAAGCATGTTGACTTGAATCATATCGCATAGTTTTTAGCGCTAGTCAAAGTTCTGAAAAACCACGACGTGGCTCGACACGGCCAGTCTATTCCAATTATCAAGGCTCGTTCAGGTTCAGCGCAAGCAACATTCGCAGTCATCAATGTCGCAGACATTGAACATCAAGTTGGTGAATTGAGTTTCTTCCAAATGGTAACCAGTTCTACGTCATTGCCCCCTACTATGTATTCAACGATAATCTGCAAGAAAGTAAAGAAAACTTCCATTTCGTTAGTTTTTGTAATGGCCATTCGTTTCATTTCATTTCTTTTTTTTTTTTTTTTTTTTTTCGGAACACATGTCGAATAAAATAAGCTCATATTTTATTGGGGCAAAATCATAATAAAAGAATCACAGAACCGAAAAAAAGAAATCTGGTTTTTAAAATAATAAAAAAATGCCCTTTTGCTTCATAGGCTCAAAAAATTATTTTTTATACGGTAACCCATCAAATTCGGATCAATATTGCATCAATGTTTTGGCATATAGCAATCTAATTTTAACTTCCAGAGCTCTAGGTTTTCAGAAGCGATTATTGACATAAATAATAACTATACAGATGAGTACATGTTTCAACTTGCCATTATTCGTGGTAATCGAAAGGACTTAGATTCCTTCCTCATACGGATTGTTGATGAGATAAAAGGATACGGAACACCTATTGGTCAACATACCGTTACTGGGGCACTCACAAGCAAAAATATTATTTTTTTAAAGATCCCGCTTAAATACACTTTTTTTTATTA